TAAATTTTTATTTTAGAGAATTTTCAGGTGTTACAAAACAAATGGTATAGGAACCTGAAAAATCAAGATCCCTCCTGAACAAACAAGAACTATGATCAACAATATCTATAGAAGTAATTAAAAATAGAAAAAAAAAACATATTGGTTGATTATTTTATTTAATTAATGTGAAAATCAAACACAGAGAATTGAATATCTTCATTCTATAGCCACAAAAAAAATGAAAAAAAAAAAAAAGAAGAAGAAGGAAGAGATGGAAATAATTGGTAAAGAAAATGGAAAACACTACATACAATAGATCGACAATGACAAGTTAAAACGTAGAGTGGAAGATCGACAATGGCGGGCCGACGACGATTTGATGTCCGATTTGAGAGACTGCGAGAGCAACAGAGAAATGAAAAATTGAGAATTAAGGTTGTTCCAAAATTATTTGGGTACTTATAACGTACAATTGAATTAAAAATACAATTGAATTAAAAAAAAAAAAAAAAACTGGTCAAGTTGGGTGGTTTATATCGGGTTTTATGGATTAACCCATAACCCGACTCAACTTAACCCACTTAGCTTAGCCATTAACCGAACCCACCAAAAAAACTGCAAAAAATCAACCCAACCCGATTGGGTCTTTTCGATCAGGTGTTGTCAATGCCCGCTATTGATCACGCAACCTTTCGATGTTTGGCCTCTAAAACTCACTCATTTTTTTATTTTCAAATTATTGTATTTAGTTAAGTGGTATTAAGCATCCGTCTATGTAATAATGGTCATACTGCTACTAAAGTGCATTGCTTTAATTTATTTTTATTTTTTTCCCTTAGAAAAATCAATCAAAAAACAAAAGAAAAGAAAACAATTGTTGGGCTTGGTGGTCAATTTGACCCGATCAACCTTATTACGAAGTATATGCCTTCACGGACTAGGCCACTCCAAATCTGTTTGGGCACACTTTATAAAAAAAAAAAAGTTGAACTCCAACCTTGAGGGTCTCTCACTGCCTGTCCCTAGAGCATTGTGGAGGAGGTAAATCGCGGGATGTGTCTCAACAGACCAAGGTACAAGTAGCAGATCTAGATTCTACAAAAAGTCCAATCTCATACCTTGTAAGAAGTAGGAATCAAACTCTCATACTACGACTACCAGCTCAACTGAAACTATCTCACTCATATCCTTTATATCACTGAGCTATGCCCCGTGGGCACACTTTATAATTTGTACATAGGCTGGGTGTCTCACATGGGGACAAATTATAGTCAAAGACTTGGTAATTTCAAATGTTGTCTATTTTGACCGTAGCAATCCTTCACAAAATAATTAATTAACATCCGCCGACACTATCTTTCTACCGTTTAATAGAATCATCTTAGTTTCAATAACAATTTAATATAAAATTTTTACACAGTTTAAAAACTTAATT